GTGCGTAAAATTTCCCATTTCCCTTAATCTTTAGTTTGTTTATCCCGATTATTTAGAAAAATATTGAGTATTTTTTACTATTGACCCCCCAAAGTACCAACTAAATTCACTTTCAGATCTAACGAGGTACTGATGTCGACAATTGAAGCACTTTTACTGCCATAAAACGTGATGACAGACACAAAAAAAAAAAAATTAATAAAAAAAAACACACATGGTAAAATCAATAGTGATAAATTAATTATATATCATTGTTAACCTACTATTACAACTTTAATACCTAAATATTGTATTATTTCTCCCCCCCCCTCAATGTTATCATTGTTATGATGAATAATTTAATGATTTTTCTGAGGTAGAACTTATAGAAGGTACATAAATTAAAATAATTAAATACTATTATAGAGTTTAAGTAGTGCTATATGCTTTCCTTCCGTCCCGAAACCACGATTAAAGATAAACTATATTTGCTCATCGGACATGCGTCTAGGGACAGGGATACCGAATGGCTGCAAGATGACAGACTCTGTTATCATTATCACTTATCACAGATTTTACAATCACTATTCTAAAAATAATATATATATGATATAATTATAATACATATATATATTATATTATGTTGTTTAAAATTCCAAGTTTATTAATATTCTATAATTATCAAAAATTATGATATTCCAGTTAATTATTAATAAACTATAACCTTCATAATACATAGAAAAATTCATATATCCCGAGAGTGACACCCATAGGCCTCCATAACGTAATTAACGAAAACCATGAAAAAAAATAAAAATAAAATACGATTAAAACAGTATTCCAGGGTAGTACATCAAGAAAAGGGATGAACAAAACATTTAAAATTTTAAACTCATGTAGTAGTGTAAGTTTTCAAAATACCATACATTTAATTAWACAAACAAGTTTTTTAACAAAAAGTAAAAATTCATTTTTGACAATCATTCGTTCAAACACAAATATTTGATGTACCGAGTTCATTTTACCTGCTGAATATTTAAAATAAGATAAAGTAATCCGATACTTTACT